TTACAGTAAATACCCGGATGGTGGCTGTCGAACAGGAAGGGGTTAAGGATGTGTTTGACTTCTGAGAATGAGCATGCAGGGCCCTTCCTTACTCTGGACGTCCAGGCAGGGTGGCCATGTCCCTTGCCTTCTCCAAGCCCTGTAATTAGGTGAAGGAGAATGTGGTTCTGAGCGGGGCACAAGCTGGGTGGATGGAAAGATTGTTTGAGGGAGTGGAGCTTCTGTGCTGATGTTCTTCTTCCTTTTTTTTTTTCTTCCTTCCTTTTGCAATAATGAATACTAAATCCAGAACCTTCACTCCAAGCGACAACCTAGCTCTTTTTATTTTTATTATTTTGAGGCAGGGTTTCCCTAAGTCATTAAGTTAGCCCAACTATCCTCAAACTTGAGATCCTCCTGCTGCAGTCTCCCAGACTGCTGGGATTACAGGTGTGCATCACCATATGCAGCTACAGGCTCCTTTCATGAGGTTGAGCAATGAGATAGAAAAGGCAAAAAGTACTCAGAAATTTCTGTTTCCTTAGCGAGGTGCATTCCAAGACTGCCAGTAGATGCCTACAGTCACATGTAGTACTAAAACCCATACATATCTACTGTTTTTTACAAATATATTACATATATATAAATTTAATTTGTAAATTAGGCACAGTAAGTGACTAACAAAAGTAACTAATAAAAAAGGACACAATTCCAAAAATAGTCTGTAATAAAATTTATTTAAAAGTTATTACTGCTCATTTCTGGAATTTTCCTTTCAATATTTTGGACCTGAAGAACTAAAACTATGGGAAGTTAACCTTAAGATGAGGGACGACTACTATCTTTCTTATTTTGACAGCTAACTCTCTATAAAGGAGCCTGAGCAGACACTGCAAGCCCCAAGAAATGAATAAATACCATTACTGAAAAAAGTCCTGATGATTACCTTCAGGGACAATTTGCAAAATGGCAAGTAAAAGAGATGGTGATTAGTTTTTTCGATCACTGAGAAAAGTACTTTCAGTCCTGTTTTAAAATTCCTGTTGTGAAAACAGAATGTCTATTATCTTAGATGCAAAACCAGGGAGCTGATACATCACTGATACGAGTGTATTACGAGACACTCATTTATCTTTCAGATTTAAAAATTATTACAACGATCACACTACTTCCTTGAACTGTTCACCTCAGAGAAACAACACAGAATGATTAGTCAATAGTCTAATGACATATAGGCATCTGAAAACCAAAGTGGGCAGCTTTTTAATTAGTTTAGTTATGGAAGTTTAGAAAGAAACAAAATTACTTAAATATCCAAACTTCCAATTGTGCAGACAAGCAACGCTTGGGACATTATCCACATCTGACAGCTTTTGAATTTACCCCCCTGCTTGCGTGAAAGGCTGTTCGGAACACACATCTCTCACCCTTCATCTGGGTAGATTTTATTTATGCACTAGACAACCTTTTTCGCCATTAGAACCATCTTGCTTCAGCAGTTAATTAACACAAGTACCATAATTTAATACAGTTAATGCTACTTGATGCCCTTTAATGTACCTTCCATTAGTGATATTATTGTAGTATTACCCTGTAAATTAAAATGAGATCAAGACTAAGAGAGCTGCTCTTTAATTAAGGTACTGGCACATGGACTTGTCTATTATTCACTAGAGAAAATCACCCTGATTTACTGAAGCAGGACATCCATAAGTCAGAATTAGTCCGTGAAGATTATTAGTTTTATTGAACAATGTAAGTACCACGGAGTCGCTCAGATTGCTAATAGCCGTGTTTCCTCATTTTCCTCCATTATCTTAATAAATATACAATGAGAAGGTGTAAATGAAAGCAAAATAAGTGTGTAGCAAAAGAAGAATAAATTTTTTATGATGAGATTATAGTTTTTGCTCTCAGTAAAACAGGCATCAGGTGTATTCCATCACACGCCAAAAAGAACATAAATGCTACATTAATCTAATGACAATCACAATGTCATTTTTTACATCAGACAAAACTAGTCAGTTTAAAATACACACATACACAATGAAGTAGAGAATCGGAATTCACAATCAGTCCATTTAAAAGGTCATGAAATACTTTTTGTTTAGTATATTAATATTTCAAAATGAGAAATTCTGAGAGCTATGTCAACTCTTCTGTGGATATTTACATCTGATTTCCATTCCACTCTCCCAAAATAACCCTTATCAATTTGCACACTTTGCTGGGGGTGGTGTTGGAAGTGACAGGAGGGAAAATATCATTATCATTATCAGCTCCAGACATGTAGAGGCCTGTCACAAGGTGTAATCATTTCATGGGATGGCGGCTGTGACACAGGAAACAAAGACTTTAGTTATATTTTGGAAAATTTTACATTTATGATAGTTGTGAGGGGGAATTTTTACAACTTTCTTTCAGAAATCATCAGGTAATAGTCAACCTTCTAAAGGTGATTTGTAGTATAAAAGCTGGCCTACTCCATTAATCTTACAGAAATTTCAAGGGTAAACAATCACAGCATGCTCAAAGACCATGTGAACTAGGGTACTGCTCAACCTTTCCCTTTACTGGGTCCATTATGAGCAAATCTTCCTTATATAACTTAAGAGCTGGAGACACGCCTGAGCCATCAGACCTTGCTTCTTCGGTCCCTCCCCTAAGACTAAAAATATTCAGGCCATCTGGTGCCTAGTGCAGCGCATGCCAGCATCAGCTTTGCCCTGAGGAATTTGGACAGAGTGCGGAGGTGACAGAATAGGACCTTATGGAAGGGCTCACCTCTACTGGACCTTTCTCTTCTGCCCAGCTGCTTCTCATCAGCTTGCAGTTGACAGGTGAACAGGAAAAGACAGTGGAGGTGAGTCCCAGAGAACAGACAAGGGCTACTGTGAGCTCCTCAGAACCGCTGAAGTGCAGTTGGAGGACACTACCAGGATGAGGGATAGAAGAAAAATGATCATCTGCAGGGATTCTGCATTTCTGACCCTTAGGAGATGGCCTGTCTGGTTCCGATGGAGAACGCCTGGAAATGCCTTTGTCATTAAAATGTATTTTATACCTTTTCAAAAAACCAGAGGAAAGAAAAATAAATATCTACTTTTTGAAAAAGCCCTGATGATGATTCTTTGGCAAAGAAACAGCTTCTGAAGACTGGCTTCCTAACAGCAGTAATGAGAGTTTGGGGAATTGGTCAATAGCATGAGCTGTGCTCAGGTTATGGATTTCTCAAGCTGCCAGGAAACTAACTTCTGTGAATTTAATCTAACCATATAGATCACAGTAAGATTCAAATTCAAACTTCAATTTAGTAATATTGACCTTTATCCTCTATACTATTGAATGTGAAGTAGATACTTGTCACTTGATTTTCATGTGCTACTGTTAGTACTAACATTATTAATTATTTTCCTGTATCAAATAACCCTAATGATCAGACACTGGAATTGATATCTTTTACTACAATGTTCCTGAATATAAGCACTGCATTTTATTATAAACAGCAGACTCGTTTCTCAGACAACATATCCCTACCCCCTGCCATGGTCCCCTGCTCCTATAGCTGTTCTCTGTAACCTGGAACCTCTACACTCAACATGGTATGCATGTAATAGTGCACATTTCTCTCAAAAATAGTATTTTGCTTTACATATATATTCATTATCTATCACTAAGATTTTAGTTAAAAGCTGAAGATATTGACTCTCCCATGAGGAACACAGAGCTAGAACAAAGAGGATGGCCACTTGTTCCTGCTACTTTTCTGCGGTGGAGACCCTGAAATTTCTGACAGCACTCTGAATGGTCGTACCGCATATCCCGTGTGCACACAATGGCTCTGAGCTTAAGACCACAGCCCTTTTCTTCCTCTGGCAACGTACATGAGGAAACTCTGAAAGACCAGCAAGTCTCAACAGCTGCCATTTCTGAGGACTGGTTCTCCCTAACAAGGCTGGAAGTCAGCACACTGAATGACTCTTGCTTGACTAAGTTTAAATTATTTGATTACTTACTTATGGCTACATGATAGATGCCCTGCTTCTGTTGTGACCTTTACATTTTTGATTTAAAGCTCTTGGCATTTTAGGGTGATTACTGCTTTGCTTGTTTTTGGTTCTTTCCCCCCATTTACTATAACTCCACGTTTAGTTTCTCCCGGTTACTCCTCCATGTCCCCGCTCCCATCAGTTGGCTATCTGATCATATGCCGTGCTAACAAAGCTGGTCCAAAGCCGCAGTGTCGAGAGGTTCTCATTACTCCAGTGTTTCACTTAAATATCTTCAAAATTCTTAGAAACTCAATTGTGTTTCTGGCGTACCGAAACTAAGGGCACCCCTGGCTATACACATGAATGCTGCATCTTTAGTCCCTTTCGTTCCCTTACAAAGTGAAGTGTGTGCAAGTCAAATCCATATTTTAAATATAGTATATCTTTGCAATACAACAGCCACCAGAAACTCTAAAAGTAGAACCCGCTTTTCCCTAACAAATGCACTGTTTTCTAGATGCTTCGGCTTTGATGTAATAAATTCAAATAAATATAACATTCACTTCCAGATGGTTTTGTCTAATACAACACTATTATCAGATTGTTGTCATCTCATGCTGCCATCCTCTTTTACATTCAAAAACACAAGATACATTTCTTTTTCTTCAGCTCCTTTTAGAGCAACTGGCTGTACACCCCTGATTTCTTTGTCTTAATGACTTAAAAACCACCTCGTGACCTGGGGAGTTTTCTTGTCTCAAAGAAGGTACTTTTTATGTGTTATTTATTTGTTAAGGTGCTTTTATATAAAAAAGATTATAGATTCCTGCCAAGTTCAGAGGCAGGAAATCTGGGATTACAAATTACTGCGGAGTACCAAGGGTTGCAGATACATTCAGAACCTACCTCTGCACCAGTATTCCTGAGAAAACGTAGCCTAGAACATGACAACTGTCACTTTATAGCTGCGTGCTGGTGTTTTCCTTGGCCACCCCCATTCCCATTCAAGGAGGACAGAGGTTTTCTTACCTTCCTCGCACCTTTATGTCTGAGATTGCATAAAAGTAGCGTGCCAAGTGAAGCTCATCTACAAATATCTCCCCAACAGCTGGTCTCAACAGCCTTATCCTCAGGTCTGTGACTGTAAAGAAATCTCTGAGTTTCTTGGTTGTATCCAGCTGGCCATAGAGAGAAGCCATATTCCGCAGCCTAGGTCCAGCAAAAAATGCAAACCTGTCTTTGATTTCAAAGTGGATGATTTTGCTGTTTGTTGTATACCCCGTGGAGTACTCTTCTGTGCAAATGATTTCTAAGACCGTGTGCTGTGATAGATCCTTCACGGATTTCGGATCCATGTGAAAAGCATCTAAGCAATCTGTGGCATAATACTGATAGGGCTGCCATGTTCGTCCGTAGTCAAGAGACTTCTCCAGAATCATTTGGTCTGGACGCCCTGATTCAAAAGTAATCACTATGTTGTCTGTGAGCTCAATGGTCTTGCTCCAAGATAGAGTGATGTTAACCTGGAGAGGCTTGGGGTACTCCTTCCATGTAGCAGACTGCCAGAACGTGGAGGGATGTCTTCCTTCAAAGTCAAACATCAGCTCCGGCGGGTGCGCCAGCTCAGGGGTACTTGCGTCACACTCGTTATTGCACATGTAGGGGTTGCCCTATAGAAGGAGAAAACAAGAGGCCCATCAAAACACTCGTCTGACACAAGTCTTGCCATATTGTTGTCGCTAAGAGGCTAAGAAAAAGTTTTCAATAACCGCTTTTATTTGCCCTAGCTGGATTTTCCTATTTAAGAGCTTGAAAAAAGCAGTATGATAAATTTCTTGTCTTGCCTCCTTCCACAGGATTTAAGAAATCAAAACAGCTTATTTACCCCACATGTGTTAGACCCATAATGTGGTCACAGAAACACAAAGACACAGAGCAACTGTCTAACAGCTCAGTAGCAACGCTTCCTCTTAGAAAGAGGCTATAGAGAAGCAAGGGAATTTCCTTCCTGCCTCAAGGACATTCCTTAACAGCAAGATTCTTTAAAAAGGCATTTGCAAGCAAGGCCTTAGAATTGGCTATAAACAGTAGACACCCGTGTCCTGTTTGGGAAACGGTAACCCCATGGAATGTTCAGTTGCTCTTGGCTTTGCCTCCAATCCATCATGCTTAACTGGTTCCCTGCTTCATAAAGTCTGGTTTTAAAACATTTACTTTATTCACCACAAATCATTACAATGTGGTGCACTCCAGGCTCTGGGGCTTGGTCCAAACATCTGCCATTCTATTAAGTAGAGATAAGAGGATTTCTCAGGAAAGTCTTGGGGTTGGGGTTGGGATTGTGTTCCAAGTTGTCAGGCCAAGAAACCTCGCTACGGTTACCCCTCAATATCCACAAGGCATTGGTTTCAGGACCCATGTGGATACCAGAATCTGCATCTGCTCAAGTCTCTTATATAAAATGACATAGTATTTGCATGAAAATTTAAAGTGTAAATCATCTATTATAATGAAATGCAAATGCTATGCAAATAGCTGTTATACTCTACTATTTAGAGTGTATTGGCCCAACTGTCAAAGGTCTGACTACATGGCAGACAGAGGAGACAAGAAGGGAGCAATGCTCAAACAAGGAGTGCTGGAGAGAGACGAAGAGCCGTGACACAGCAGAATGCCACGGCAGGCACGTCTGCACAGCTCCTCACTCACATAAGTCAACATGATGCTCAGCAAATGACAGATTTAAATCTTGCTTTGAGGCACTTTCTGAATTTCTTATCTCAGTAGTTTCTTTCAATCCACAGTTGATTGAGTCTGTGGATAGAGAACCTCTAGATGTGGAGGGCCAACTGCAGTTAATGAAGAGGGTGTCACCCACCAAACTTTAGCCACTTATGTGTTTATTACTCTGTGCTGGTCCATAGGAGCTGCTTTCCACAGATGGTCATTACTTTCATCATCATCATCATCATCATCATCATCATCATCACCATCATGATTCCTCTGACAAAAGCTCCTTCCTTTACAACCCAAATAAGAAGCTGGGAATAAATCCCGGTGTCATATCACAAGATATAATACTGCCTGCACTACACTAAACAGCCACTCTCAGGTTTCATCAGAAGATCCTCCGGAGAATGACTGCCTTCCAAATGTATGTGTGTTTTGCTTTTAGAAAATAATACCATTTGGAGTCCACTATTCAGGCTCCACCTTATATGGGTGGAAGCACCCCAGTGAATGTTTGTGTTTCTTCACCTGTGATAAGTTTAACCGACCAATTAGGCACTGTAAGACACTAATAACAGTAAGTAATAATATAACAGGACCCGTATAACAATATACTGTACCTAAACTTAGGTGAATGTGGCCACCCTCAGAACATTTGACTGTACTCATTCTTGTGCAGACGTCAGACGAGACAGTGCCTACAAGGGCGACATGATGTCAGTGAGTGAAAGCAGCACTGCGACCTGGTGACAGCTGCTGCTGAGGACAGCTGAGCTGCTTCTAAGTGGCTAAGGAGTGAATCTACAAAGTGGATACACCAGACAGCCGCATGATTTATACCCAACATAGGGTGGAGCAGGACAACACTCAGAATGATGCAGAATTCAAGATGTATGAATGCTTTATTTCTAAGAGAGTCCAGTTCATATTTTTGGACCCCAGTGAAAATGGGTGATTGAAACATGGAAAGTGAAAGTGTGGGTAAAGGGAGGAAATGCTGTATTTCTCTCTTATCCTATCCTAGGAATTACAAGCATGGGTGGATGAAAGAATCGACCTTCTGATATTTCCTTAGCCTTTCTTTTGGAATTATAATTGGATTTCTTTTCTCTTGTTTCATGAGTTGTGGGCTTTTTATACCTGTTGGATGCATAAGATGGTCTCAAATAATGAACTTACACTTTAGGTATCGATGTTCACTGAGCTGCTGACTCGTATGAAATAGTAGATGAACGTCAGAGGAACGCTGTGGCCTCCCTGGAGGTACATTTCTCCTACCTACTCAGCTAATACTCACTCTCTCTTGCCCGTTAATGCAACTGAATCCTAGAGCTGGCAACAGGTTTGGGAGACTAAAGTATAATTGAGATGAGGCAGGAGAAAGAGGAGAAGCTACATTATTTGAGGAACAGAACTGTTTTAAAAATACACTCAAGAAATCAGTGATAATGGAAATGTTTCTACACTTCTTTCTCAAATTTCAATTCCCTATTCCTGATCCCAGCGTCTGTGGCACTATTTATAGATAGCCCCTTCCAAATGAGGGGTGGGGTGGGGTGGGGGGAGGAATACGTTTCTGTTCCAGGTGGAATAAATCACCAAATTTATTAGTGTTTAAACTCTCTTCAGCATGCCAGAGAGCCAAATGTAAAGCTCTGCAAACTAGCAAAGGCTTTTTATGGAGGGCTATAAATACTGTAGAATCTGTCAGGATTTATAAATTCTAAATATATGTAAATGTGCATTTTACTGGAAGGGGTCAAATTTATATAAATCGCACCTCCATTTGAAATTTACTGAAAAAATATGATCACTTCCGAATTTGGCAGTTTGTAGCCATCTGTACAATCATTAACTTGGACCTTATCATCCTCCTTCTAACACAAGCGTCTTCTTCTGAGGTCAGGAGTCTGCTGAAAAGGGAATCAGCTCTGTGGGATGCCGGGACTATATATTTGCACTAAGCTGTGTTGAAAGACAGGCTTTGTTTGCCTCCAGTCTAGGTGCACAGAGCTTTTCAGATCAGGGCAGGGCGCTGGGACCACGCGAGGGGGAGGCGCATCTGGCTGATTCTAGATATGGGTCAACACAAACAAACCTGTCTTAGAAAATATCCCTGGAGAAACCTAAGAGGCATTTATTCCTACATTCAGTAGAAGGAGTATGGCAATGTCCACCTACCATTAGTCCTTATGTGCTGGGCACTTTATAGATACCTGAGAATCTCTTTCATTCCTACCTCACAGAGGAGGAAACTGAAGCACAAAGAAGTATTAAGGAATGTGCTTGAGATCATATCACAAAGTGTAAGAAGAACAGCCAGAGTCCCTCCGCATACCCCACCCTGGTCTGTTCAATACTCAGGTCAATGGAATTTCTTATGTTGTCCTGCCTTGGAATAAGCATTGGTTGGTAGAAAGAAAATAACTAAGATCAAATGAGTTTGGGAAAAACAGCCTAAGATCTCTTCTCAGACCTAATGAGCAATATTCTATGTGAGAAATGCCTTGAAATTAAGAACTTTGTTTAGTTTTCTTCAAGATTTTTTTAAAGAGAATAAAAAATAATAAAAAACAGAAATGATACAGTTTCACTAAACAAGATGATAGGAATTCAGCAGTGGCTGTTATATTGCACATCATTGTCTTCAAATTAGGTTGTCAGATTATCAGATAGAAGCATGCAAAATTGGTCAAAAAATGTCAGCATTAACTGTTCCTTTCAATAGACCAGCAGAAATCAGAAGTACAATTGTTTCAGCTGTCCTGTGTATATACATACATATTTTTCCCTTCCTTTTCTTTCTTTTCTCCTTTCCCTCATCCCAGTTGTTCCTTCCCTCTCACAGTATTTATTGTACCTTTTGGATTTCATTTACTCTTTCAGGCTCTTACACTAGGGAAACAATACCATGTTTATATATGTGGGTCTGATTTATGTCACTTGTGAGTATGATCGCTAGTTGCATCTATTTGCCTATAAAAGCCTCAAGTTTATTTTTTTATAGCTGAGTAATACTCCATTGTATAAAAATGTCACAACTTTTTATCTGTTCCTCAGTTGATGGGCATTTGGGTTGTTTCTAAGATTTAGCTATGACAAATTGTGCTGCTATAAACATGCTTACACATACATCACTGTAGTATGATGTTTTCAGTTCTTCTGGAAAAACACCCAGAAGGGGTATAGCTGGGTCAAATGAGAGACCTCTAATCCTAGTTTTTTAAGGAATCTCCACACTGATTTCCATGGTGGTTGCACCAGTCTACACTCCCACCATCAGTGGAGAAGGCATCTCATTAGACGCAGAAAAAGCTTTTGATAAAGTTCAGCGCTCATTCATGATAAAAACCTTACATAAAATCAGAATAGATGGTCTTTACATCATTCTGATAAAAGCCATCTATGACAAACCAAATGCCAACATCATACTAAATGGACAAAAACTAAAGCTTTCACTTTAAAATCAGGAACAAGACAAGGATGTCCACTGTCACCACTCCTATTCAATATAGCTCTCAAAAGATTAGCAAGAGCACTTAGACAAGAGAGAGAAATAAAAGGAATAAGGATAGGAAAGGAAGAAGTGGAATTATCATTATTTGCAGATGACATGATACTCTACATAGAAGACCCCCAAAATTCCACTGAAAGACTTGTAGATTTAATAACCAAATTCAGTACCATAGCTGTACATAGTTAGCACTCAAAAATCAATAGTTTTTTTAAATACTAGTTTCACAAATTTATTTGATTATGGAGTCCCTTCTGAATTTACTGACCCATACTTAGATTTTACATAAATAGTATCTATTATTTTAAAACTATAAACATGCGGAAGGTAGGTGCCACTCCATATACCGGTTTTAAGCATTTAATGAAGATGTGGCCACAGAAAATACTCTTTCTCTGTTTCTGCTATCCAGGTTTGGGCACCTGTGACCTTGGACTCTTTGGGACAACAAGCCCTGGGTAAGAGTGGACATTGATATCAAGGCTTCCCACAAATCTGGTGCAGCAGACAACAGATGGATGAGAGGAAATCCTCCTGCATTCATTACTGATTGCCTACTATATTACTCTGTTCAAGGCACTTGTCTTGGCACTTTAAATACAGTAATAAACAAAACCTAGGTCCTTGCTTTGTTTAGCATTTCTGCCTTAGTTGGACAAGATGCAAATGAACAATGCTTTATAATGTTACACAGGGATAACTACTATGAAAAAGAAATAAAGCCAGTGAAAGGGAGATGCACTGGGGAAGGAATGGTGGTTGTAATTTTATATTGGGAGGTCAGAGAAGGTCTCCCTGATAATGTGACATTTGAGCAGATAAAGAACAATTCCCAGTTTACACTGGAGATGATCAGAGGAGGTTGAACAGAATGATAATTTTGTCCTTCATCTGACTCTACTGCTAGTGATATTTTCAGCAGGATGAAAATCTGCTGCAGTCTATGGGTAAACAAATCATTTGAAATGAGAATCCATACCAAATAATGGTAGACAACAGAAAACCATGGAAAAATGAAAGAGAATCAATTGGATAATTTTCCATATTTCATAGTACTCATATTCTTTTAGATCATGATTTGATGACCATTAACACAATTTACCAAGAGATAATAACATTATGGGAAAATAACAGAGGATAGCAAAAAAGAGGGCGGGACATCACTCTGGTCTCTGCATTTACCTAAGGAAGAAAGAAGAGAGCAGAAGTTGAAAATCTTACCATTCCCAGTAGAGAAAGCTGGAGGAGAGATTATATGCAAAAATATTTAGTGTAAATATTTCTTATGGGTGTGAGTCATAATACTGTTATTATAGAGAATTGTCAATATGAAAACAATTCTTGTTAAAGAGATTAACTTAATTACATTTTCAGCTACTTCAGTGCTACCCTAATCCTTTTTAATAACATCAACAGTGAAATTTATATAAGAAAAAAGCAACTTTTCCCTACTTATGAAAGCAAAGAACACTTCTCACTGCTAAATCTAACAGATTCAGGATTCAGTAAGTGTAAGTAATTATTTTGTGGCCAGCGGGCAGCCTTAAGTAGATCTTAATTTAATTCCTGTGAGCAACAGATCCTTAGCTCTTTGTCTATGGACAAAGCAAAAAATATTTACGACTATGCAGATAATATTTACACCACAAAGAGATGCCTAAATAATTAAACAGATATTGGTGCTAAATATTTTTATAACAATTAGAAGCTTGTGGAGTTTAATTTCATTTAAAAATACTAACAGTTTGCCTCTGGGAAAATTGAAATTAGTTATTAATTAGCCATTTGTAGCCAAAGCAGAATGTTATTATTGCTCTTTAATGTGCTTTCAGAATTAGAGCCCTAAATAAGATTTGAGAATTACTTTCCTGTTTCTCTTGATGGAAGGTGTCTTCCTTCTAGCAAGTAGCACTTCTAAAAGAATATCCTTTCGCATAAGATCTAAGAACCCTCTCAAAGTTTAAAATAATCCTACACAATCACTATTAATGTAATGTTTGAGGTTACTGTCATTTTGACCTTGCCCTTTTTAGCTCTAACGACTGACAAACAATTGTAAATGGCCTTGGAAATGAAGCGACTGCCAGGGAGATCTGCTTCTGACTGTAAGCGACACGCCATGCGGGAAGGTACTTACAAACGGCGGTGAGAAGTATCTCAGGCCAACACTCAAAATGATTCTGAAAACCTGTGACAGAGGAGTCTCTCACCCGTTTGCATCCGGGAAATCTTTGCTTGCGTCATTGATAAGTGACAGTCAAAAAATGACACAAAAGCAAGAAACAGTGTCTGAGCCAGCACTCTCAACCTGCTCCAGCTGAATTCTGAAATAGAGACCATAGCTTTGCAACAACAAGGCCTTTGGAAGGGTGCAGAAACGCAGCCAACCTACTGCTGCTCCTCAGAGGAGTAAGACGCCCACAGCGTGCTTTAACTGCCACGTAGGAGCATTACCTAGGGCAGATGTAATCTTTCACTCCATCTCCCTGAGAGCTGACCAAGCAGGGGAGTCTGGGAGGTGGTGACTGGCCCCTTTATATCTGAGATGTCAGTTTCAGTGGATGGGTTTTCTACCCCTAATCTCCTTTTGAAGCTTCCCGGCCAATCCTCTTTGGCCGTTGTTCGCATACACCCAGGTTTTGCTTGACTATAATATCACAGGAAGTTTTTTTCCTTTACTGCTTTCCTAAACACACTAACATTACTTTTGAGCGTGGGAGCTGATGTTCCCAGGTCATGCTGAATCGCCAGCTTCATGTCTTAGAGATTTGCCAGCGGCACTGGGGAGAAGCAGAGGGAAGTCAGAGCCAGAGGAGATGTAATCTAAGATAGTGGGCTTCTCTTCCCGAAATCTGAAAGATAAACATCAGTACTGCCCATGCAGGCAAACTGGTGAGCCCTGCTGACCTCAGCCACAGGAAGAGACTTTGCTCACAGGGAAAGAGTTTACTCACAAAGGGAAGCTCAGAGGGCAGCCTGTTTCCGATTGTCCACTGACTTTAGGACATAAAGGGCTACGATTTCAAAAATGGCAGTGCAATCTCATTTTCAGGTGGCTGTGCTAATTGCTGTAGTGGATACCGATGTGGGATATACATACGGTGACGATATAACCTACCCTGTGAGACTATGCCAGTATTAGGTATTCTGAAGCTGCTGTAACAAACGTAGCTATGTGTTTGTTAGAGAATGATCCTTACATTTTAGCTTTGAAAACATGGCTACCCTAAGAATAGTAGAAGATAAAAGAATTTTGTTTTCCTAATTTTGGAGTTGAGAAGTGACTGCTCACTTTTCTAATGGAACCTTTCATTCATCATGAAGTTTCCTCCCCAGCACAGACAAGGGCTTAAGGCATGATTGAAATTGTAGCTTCTTTCAATCTGTTCCATGACCATATTAACACCTTGTGGACATTTTTACTCAAAAATAAAGACGGGAAAGCTTAACCTTTCTGCAATGGGAATACTGAAAGACATATCACAGATTATAGACCATAATAGACACCTGTGTAAATCCCCATAGAGGATTATGGTTAGGATTTCCAAGCTAAAGAAGGCCACAGAGGTCAAAAAGACCACAGTTCTAAGAAGGAAATACATTCTCCAGCCACAAGCCACAAGCCACAAAAACAGATTCCTCTATAGCAATTTAAATCATTACTTTGCATGTAGTGGAGAAGAAATAAATGTTAGCCGAACGCAGTAACACGGAAAAAGAATGCTACAAAAAATCATTGTATGAAGGTGCAACTATTGTACATGCTATGGAAATCCATTTTTCAAAATTATTTTCTTAAAGTCACAAATGTTTGATATTTTACAGTATGGGTAGACCAAACAGACCAGAACCTAGATATAAAAATTAGTAACACAAAGCAGAAGTGAGCTGTTGGCACTGAAGTTATAGCAACTCAAGACAGGCAAGGGTAGACAAAGCATCAGGGTAAGGCTGGGGTGTAGTTCAGCGGCACAGCGTCTCCCTGGTAAGTGCAAAGCCCTGAGTTAGATTCCCAGGACAAGAAAAAAAAAAAAGTAAAAGCATCATGGAAGAGAGGACTTTCTGAGGCCGGAAGTCATGAGAGGTAGCGCCTGTTTTTTGAATCTTGAAAGCACTAACCTGATGCCTGAAAACTTGCTCCTTCTCACACGTGACAAAGCAAGTCCAAGACTGGTTTGAAACCCATTTGCTAAGAGGCCACCCACTTTGAAATAGTATGGGAACACCAAAAGCATCCTCTGCTGACATGAATACTTCATCCTGAGAGGCAGGAAAAGAAGTTTCTAGTGAAATGTTTCCAAAACACGTTTGCTTCTGGCAGTTCTGTCCCCACTAGGAACATTCTCATCCTTATTTCTTTCAAACTCCTCTCTTCCAGATTCATTAATACTTTATTGGACGCTAATCAAACAATTTCAAATGCTAAAAATATTTGAAAGGACACAAGACTAAGAACACAAAAAAATGTTTGTGAATTACGGTGGAGATTACATTACACAGGTAACAGTCACATGCTTCTCTGTATATGTCAGACACTGTTCTTATCCTTGGTACAGCGTGGTAAAGAAACAGCAGTCTTTGTCTAAACTCATAGTTAGTTAAACTATAGCTTATAGTCTAGCTGGAGAGGAAGGCTCTGCAATGAACAATTATATGATTATAAATGAAAGGAAAAATTTAAAGGACAATAAGATGGTTCTGTGAAAGAAAATAGGGAGGGAACTTTAAAGGACCAGGACCCTTTTTAGGGGGTAGCATTTAAATTGAGACCTGAAAAGTCAGAAAGAATAAATTTTAGGACTAAAGGCCAGAATAGAGATAATTCTAGGAATATAGGATAACAAATACCAGACCCTATGTTTGGATAAAACTTGGAGTTTGGCAATAGCTGATATGAAAGGGAAAGAAATTGCTCAAAGGAAGGAACAGCTGGGATGAGGGAAAGAAGAAAAAAGAAAGATATATATGTATCTGGGATAACTGTACTGATGATGTCTGATGGTATATTGAAAGGAACAGTTAATGCTTAAAATTTTTTATGTTTTGACCAATTTTGCATGTTTACATCTGGGAATCTGAGCAACTGATTTGAAGGTAACAATATGCAATGGAACAACCATTGGTGAATTCTTACCATCTTGTCTAGTGAAACTCTGTATTATCTCTAATGTTATATCTCATAATTATCTTTTTTTTCTCTTTAATGGTTTGAACAATCTTGCATTCTTACATCTGGTAATCTGACCAACATAGCTGAAGATAACAATATGTAATATAACAACCACTGTTAATTCTTATCATTTTGTTTTGAAACCCTGTGTCACTTTTAATGTTCTTGCTTTGTTTTGTTTCTGTTTGTGATGTTGGTATGCTGCTATCATTCTTTCTTTTCCTTTTACTACTCTCTTTAAAATACAAAAAAAAAAAAAAGAACTTGGGGTTTGGTATGAATCTACCTAAAGTGATTGTTTATGGAGCATCATAAACTTCAGAGAAAGCAGATAGGAAGATGCCAGGGAGGGAGACAGACGGGAGGTCATGGATAAGCCTGAAGGTTCCATGTAGAATTCTAAATGGGATGGGAAACCCTGGGCAGGGTTCTTTTTGGACAGGGGTGTACGTACTACGACCTGATTTCCATTTTCCATTTTCTTTCTATTGTCTGTGTTGAATAGAACATAAGAGATAGGGAACAGAAGTATAGCAACAGCAGGAGGTTTCCTAGAGACACGGAGCAGGACGTGAGGGTGGAAGGAACATAGTTGTGAGAGTAGATAGATTGAGAAGTATTTTGAAAGAAGAATCAATGAAACCTTATACATCTGCTGAATATTTATGACAGGATTAGATATGAGATAGACGTAAACAGTAGAAAGAGGTAAACAATAGTTCTTTGGGGTTCTGGCTTGGCCGTGTAGGCGTTTGGCTGTACTTTTAACAGAGATGTGGCAGACTAGATTTAGAATTATGGGGAGAGCAAGAATTCATGTTGAAAATATTCATGAAGCTTGTGTAGTTCGTGGGTGCATCCATCACTGCCCGAAATCCTTTACCTACTCTAAAACAATTCATCTTAATAACAACACCTTGAAGTAGATGCTGGTATTTACCTTGTTTTACAGATAATGCAATGACCTGCATAGATAATAAATACAGTAAACTGCTCAGAATCACACAGCTAGTAACTCTCAACAGAGTCAATATTTTCAATGGCTAGGTTATTTTGCTTCTCTATTTGTAGAGATTTTCAGGTCAATATGTGTCTTGATCTCAGAGCAGGGTTCAGATTGGAGATTATCTGCTTGTGAGATAGTTAATAGAGATATTTGAAATGGAAGATAGATTAGAATAATAGAAGAGATAGTATAGGGGTAAAAGGACAAAGACCCAGGACTGAGTCCTATATTAATTCAAATAGGGAGACAATAATCATTCATTTACTAGGCTAAAGGTTTTCATTCACCTCTGTCTGGTAAATTGGCTGTTGAGTAAATGTACACATATATCTCACTGTTTTTCTTAAGCAGATCTGAGGAAGAGGGTTGTAGATTATGTAAGAGGTTAAAATAAGAAAAAGTATACTTTTTAAAAAAAGTTTTTATTCTTTGGCTTTGGGAGAAGTTATACTCTCTCGTAGAATACTAATTTGTTATAAGAAAAAGCATATTACTGGCAACGGGGAAACTAAAGCTTTCAAAAATAAAAGACAAACTGAATTCAAATGTTACATCATTTTTTGGATTAGTGCATTTAAAGCTCTGGGAAAAGGAGCAAGTTCTCAAAAGAATTATGAGAATTCATTTTACCTGTGAAATTGAGTTATAGTAAAGGGAATAGGGGCCTGGGGATTTAGCTCAGTGGCAAAAGCGCCTGCCTGGCAAGCGCAAGGTCGTGAGTTCGGTTCCTGGTACCGGAGAAAAACAAAACAAAAAAAAAACAAAAACAAAAACAAACAAACAAAAAAAAGTAAAGGGAATAAATGGAAGAGTGGTTTCAGAAAAGGTCTGTGGAAAGGGATTCATTTAGGGATGAAACTTCCATATCCACTAGTTTTTCTAACCTTGTTTCTGTTTTTAAAACCTTCCCACCATCCTCTTTTCTTTACTTCATTTGCATGTTCTTTCTATTTGAGATCTTTAAAAGTAAGAGCAACCCATGGTTTTATTCTTTGGCCTTTTACTTTCTAATTCTACATGAAATCCCTTACTGAGTTAATTCACATTTATAGCCTTAACTATTACTCATAGTTGGATTCCTCTACACTTTGGTCTTTAGTTTGGATTTCCCATATGAACTTCAGACCCATCTCTTCAAATACTTATTAGACATTAGGAAAAGGATCTTAAACTCTACATATTGAAAAGTTAATGTTTCCTCTTTCCCTTCTCTTTCCTTCCTGAATAATTCAATCCTGAAGCTATTAGGTGGATCTGAGCAAGGCAGGTATCACTTCTGTAATATGCAAAGATATAAAACCTGACTCTGAGCATGAGGAAATAGATAAATTAAAATTGAGGGGTATTCTACAAAGTAAGTGAATACCCCACAATATCTAAATGTATGGTGGGATCTGAGGCAGACTTCCAGATTTATGGGGACCAAAGAGATGAGACAACAAATGCCATCTAAATGGGGCCATTTTGCTATAAAAGATAGTACTGGGACAACTGATAAAAGTAGAATACAGTCTGACAATTACATGGTCGTAGAATATCTGCATTAATTTTCTGATCTATTTGCAACTTTGTAGGAGAATGTCCTTACTTGTATGAGTTATCAAAGTGTTAGCAGACTATAAGGTAACAGGTTGAAAACTTATGCTCAAAGGTTCAGGGAAAGAAGTTGAATATACTGTATTGCAATATTCCTGTAAATGGGAGCTAGTTTAAAAATACACTAACAATTACTATGTTTTAGCCACAATAAAAATAATAAAAGTATCTATACTGAAAGCAGGAAAGAGTTTTCCATCAAGAATAATACATTTAAAAGAACATTAGAGACAATACATAGTTTCACTAGACAGGATGGTAGGAATTCACCAATGGTTGTTACACTGCAAATTGTTGTCATCACATAAGTTGCTCAGATTGCCAGATATAAGCATGCAAAATTGGTAAAAATAAAAAAAAAACTTTTAATCATTAACTGTTCCCCTCAACAACCCATCAGAAACCACCAGTAAGATCAGTCTTCTATTCTTACACCTGGTAATCTGAGCAACTTCGCTGAAGATAACAATATGTTATATAACAACCACTATTAATCCCTATCATTTGGTTTGAAACCCCTTATCATTTTTAATGTCCTTGCATTGTTTTGTTTGTATTTTGCTATTGTTCTTTTTTCATACTATTTTCTTTAAGATAAAGATAGAAAAAAAATAATAATACATTACATATTTCAAGGTGTAATAAATACCTGGTCAGTCAAATCCTTATCCATCAGGAATTCTGTTCTACTAGATTGGGTTGGACCCTAGAGCCTGATTTTAGCAGGTATTCTAGATGATTCTAGATGATTTTGGATGATTCTGGTGTAGGTAGTTTCTGGATTAACTTTGTCATGTTGTTCACTAAGAACCAAGGGTTTCGGTCAGATCTGTTTAGGTTTGAATGCCAGGTTTCCCACATTACTGTGTACTTTTTGACAGTCTACTTTACTTTGTGAGCCTTAATTTTTCCTCTTTAAATTAATACCTCATGGTATTAATCTGAGATACAATTATATCATGAACAAATGTTACATCAGCATCTCCTTGACATGTAGTAAGTGTTCAATTAGTATGAGCATTAGACAGCCTCCACTTGTTTGTTTTTTTTTTTACCCTGAGACTGCCATTCCTCAAGTAGGAAAACTGTAAGTCATCTAATATCCCTTAATGCTCCTAAATCCATTTACTAGACAAATTCTACAGATGCGATTGTCAGTGCTTCATTCATGGGACAGGGTAAAGCTATTTGTCTTCTTAAATGATTTTCTTCTCAGTTAATTTTATAGCCACAAAATTACCTCTGTCCATATGCTATTGCTATGTTATCATCTAATTGTACAGCAATTAAAGTGGCCCCAAATCCAACTTTTTCTACATTACACTCTTTTACTGGCATTTAATGGATTTCTCATTATGTTGGAGGTTATAATTAAAATTTCTTAGCATATATGCAATATTTGTGAAGATAAGGCATTTAAAAGCTTGTGAAGGTACTTTTACTGCAATTTCCACCTCAGGTGTACATTGCACTAACTCATGAACATATACGCTATAGAGTTGATCATGCATATCAACAAGTAACTCATTGTATTATATTTCAATTTTTTATGAGTTGTGCTGCTCTGGCTCAATATCCTTAACTGATTCAGAACTTTTATTCTTCACAGTCGTTTTGACTTTGGGAAAGAGCCAGAAGTCACCTGGCACCAGATCCAGTGAACAAGGTATAACACACCATACAGTTCCTAGGAACCTGCTTCCCTTCGTATGCAACTCAGCAGCAGCAGTCACAATATTTTTGATTACACGTTGCAAAGACACTCACCGATACGACTTCTGGAAATGCTTCAGAAAGTGGCAAGAACAATGGGACAGTTTTGTTTGAAGTGAGAGGGAGTATTGTGACTGGGATTTACGGCAATGCGTCTCTTGCCATAATAAAATTTTTAAAAATTGAAACATTCACTGTGTTTTTCAGTCACCAATTGTATGTCTCCCCTGGTAGGGTTCTATGAGAAGAAATGACACATAAGTATGTGACAATAATTTACTCATAAAGAAAACAAGGAAAGCAGAACAACAGGAAGGCAGAAAGAAGATGGGATAGATTAGCTAAGTTTGGAAGTTTAGAATAAAATGGGAGGAAAGTGCCTAGAGGTTGGCACCTGGGAATTAAAGATATAACCAGGCTCAAAGAACTAACTGATGTCCTTAAGTTGCACAGGTAATGCGTATGATGTAATACACATTACTTTTTATAAAGTCTATTGCTAAGTTCAGAGTGCCTGTGTGCATGATTTATCCAGTTCCTGGGGTACCTGGTGAAGCCAGAGGACACAGACAAATGCAAAGGCTGCAATTTTGTCCCCGTCCACTCCGGTGTTCATCCCGTTCTCTCATTTTCCTCCATCAGTCAAAGCAGTCTTCCTCCTGGTGGCTTTAGAACTGAACATCTCTTTCCCCAGCCCCAACTTGCATTACTTATCTGATCCACAGCCTCCTTCTCACTGAAAAATCATGCAAGAGCATGGCTTTTCCTTGAGCAAATATGAACTAAATAAAACTCAATGGAAGAAGCAACGAATGAGATGCACAAAACTGTACAACACACGAACACGGAAGTGTCTCCCCTGGGCACATCCTTGGGAAAATAAAAAGGTAAGATGCTCTGTTGAAGTGGATGTGGAACATGAAACAAAATTTTTGTTTGTTTCAAGAGGACACTGTTTTTGTTTACTGTGCCACAACTTAGTGGCTAATTATAGAAAAACTAAAAATTCTACGCGGGCTGGCAAGTTGACTCCCCACAAGCCAATGAAGCTTACCTCTCAGGACCAGTGAATTCTATAATCTGCTTGTTCAGCCTTGCACATGACACTGTACTTGTAGTTTTGTATTTCTCTTGTTAAAATAGGACCCCAGACTTGTACAGGATACAGGCTCATAAAATCTAGTATTGCCACTGCCCAGATTCATTGAAGTAGAAGTATTTTCTTCTTCCTTGCTATTTCTTCTCAGGTGATTTCATTCCTTCCACCCCAGCAATATTCCATTCTTAATATTTCTAACTTTGAAATACATTTTCTCTAAATCCAATTTTCAAAATTTTACTTGCCCAAGTTTATGTTTGATATATATATCATATCAATATTTCATTAAAAACGAATGCATTTTACTTAGAACAACAACCATACAAGTTGGTGTATTACCAACGATAAATACTAATTTCACTTATTTTTACAACTGGAGTAGCTGAGAACCAATGCCACAAACCAAGTAAAAATATGACAAAATATTAATTATAATACTAATAATCATGTGCCAAGCATTATGCATGATGCTATAGATTAGTTCAAAATAAAGTTAATTCATCCTTATCAGTTATAAGGCTGTCGCATGATGGGATTGGAAAAAGTCTCATTTTGAAAACAAGAACACATATTTCGGAGAGTATTTTGGGTCTGTTATATAGAAATGAAATAAGAGTAGCATTTTAATTATCAGACAACATGTACAAAAATCTACTATAAGGAGATATTTTTAAAGTCACTATAAAAGATATACAGGAGGTGGAATCTTAGTTTTGAAAATTATCTTAGGTTTGCCTATGTGAAGAAGACACATTGCAAGCAATCAGTGATACCTGAGTGCCTTGTGTGGCTAGAAATTTGGGGGCGCTGCTTCGTAGTTGTCTTTTGATTTAATCCACATGACTCCCTAATGGTAAGTATGATCCTAATTTACTTATGAATAGGCTAAGCCTCAAAGTGTCATGGAACCTCATCAAGATAAATGATGGACACAGAGGTTAGGCCGAGGAAGTAAGAGATAAATATAAGATCATAATGGCAAGTTAATTTCAGAAAGTGTTGAAAGCAGGGTAGATACATTCAGGTTTGATGAACTGGAGAACGGAAAGCCGTTAGTGACTTTACAGCAGATGTCTCGTACACAGTGAGCCTTCTTTATTAGTTTTCTTGGTTTTATTCAAGAGCAACAAATGGTTCCAGTTCAGTTTAATATTGAGTCATCTCAATAAGGTCACAAAGAATCAACTGGACTCCATTGGAATTCTAGTCATGGGCATGCCAGTAATTCCAGACATATCTTATTCATCTTTGTATCCAGCATAATTCCTTGAACACAGCAGATAGTCAATAAATAATGAGCAAACAAATGAATGCAAAGCAGGCTATCTTGTAGTTAGTTTTTCTGTTTAACAAAATATGAAAAGACTCCAATATTGAAGAAAGGAATTATATATCTTCTAATTCAATTCTCTGTCTGTTGGTGACTTGATTCTAAAGTATCAGGCTGTGAAGAATCATGATCTTCCACTTCTCTATTTAAGGGCGTGTTGCCCAACTCTCAAAAAGTTCTGGAGGTCCAAAAGTTGTGTGTATCATGTACAAATCAAGACACCTCATTGTGGGGTCGGAAAGGGTCCAGAACTGGCCTCGCCCCGGTGAGTCTTCCCACTGAAGTCCAGAACAGGGACTGAAGCATCCTTAGAAACAGTGGAAGGTCACGACAATGGCAGTGGAGCATGGAAGAGGAGGGAGATGGACTAGACATAGGAAAGCATCTAGGAAGTAGTTTCTATTATCTAAGTATGCAGAGCTTGACTAAAGTGAATAACAGCAAGGGGGCAGGAGATTCAGCAGTAATTAGATCAACTGAAAGTAGAAGAACAAAGGAAGAGCAAGGACCAGTGGCCACACCAGCTGTACTGCCAGGAAGAAACGAAACGTTACATCACTCGAACTTGTCACTTGGGACTCTTACTGCTCCATCCTATCAGTTCTCTTTCCAACATAACTGCAAACCTGAGATTCAATTTATAATGGGTAACGAGACATTTAAATTTCCCCATCCTCGACTGTGCCTAAATATCCCACGTGCATAATTACTAACCCACAGCTATTCTCTACCTCTTGTTTTTGGTTTTAATTTTTTACTACTACAGGTTTGTATGACATAACGATGACATTCCTTGCAGGGAGTTAATACACAGACATAACATATCCCAATTCTTTGTTCACCCCCTTCCCCTCACCCCCAATTTCTTGACCTTCCTCTTTGAAAAATATCTCTTTCCCTAATTCCTACTATCTAGTTTTTATTGTGCTCTTTATTTATATTTTTGGTCTCTCATACAAGAGAAACCATGTGATATTTAAGCTGTGTATATGATTTATTTCACTTAATGTTATGGTCTCAAGGTGCGTCTACTTTCCTACAAGTGGCGCGAGCTTGTTGTTTATGGCAGAGTGGTACTCCACATGCGTAAATACCACAGTTTGTTTATCCTTTCCTCTGTCGATGTACATGTGGGCCTCTTCCGAGATTTAGCTATCACGAATTGTGCTCCTAAAATCATGCATATGCATGTGTCATTGTAATATGACACTTTAAACTCTTTTAGTAAAATACTTAGAAGGGAAATAGCTAGATGGAATGGTATTTATAGTTGTGGGTTTTTAGGAATCTCCGTACTAATTTCCATAGTGGTTTTACTAGTTTATATTCCCACTAACAATGTAGAAGGATTTCTTTGCCCTTGCAGCTTTGCCAGCATTTTCATTATTTTATTTCTTGATGACAGCCATCCTTCTGGGGTAAGCTGCAATCTTGCGTTAATGTCTCTAATGGCCAGAGATGTTGAATAATTTTTTCATGTGTTTATTGGCCATTTGTACTTCTTAGAAGTGGCTATTTAAATTGCCCCTATGTTTTAGTCTCTTTTTTTTTTTTTTTTTTTTTTTTTTTTTTTTTTTTTTTGGTTTTTCTCCAGTACCGGGAACCGAACTCATGACCTTGCGCTTGCCAGGCAGGCGC